CCCCCGGTGAGGCCGAGGCCGATGCACGGATCGGGAGCATGGACAGACAGCGGGGATGCGATTCAGTCAGTGCGGCGGCAAAGTAACGTTTTGGTTGTGTTTTGTTTTTAAGCCAAAGAAGGTTTTACCAAGACATGACAATAATGCGTTACTCCCGGCTGCAACTTTTTACCGGCGGCCCTTAAAGAGCGCAGGAAGGAAGGATTGCTGTTTGGTGCAGGTTGGTTAGGTTGGTATATTAGCCAGGAACATAACTGCCGTCTCCGTGTAAGAGAATAAGAAAGGATTTTTTTTTTTTTTTTTTCGCCACAGCATTGTCAGTAGACATGAGCAAAACTGTACGTGTCGGGATCAGGGGAAAAGGCAATGCTGTAATTGGGATATGAATTGGTGAGAGCCAGGATGAAAAGCCGGGATAGGAAGGTGTTGGGCAAAAGGAATCTGCCAGGTACAAATGTAGGCTGGAGGAGATGCCTACCAAAAGCTCTGCGTTGAAAACAAGGTCTAGGTTATTGACCCAAGCTGTAAACAAGGTGGCAATGTTGTCTGTAGTAGAATTAAAGCTTTTAAAAATTACTGAATTTTCACAAATTACACGCATTTAATAGCAGTATAACCAACTGGCCCAGCTTTTACATCCTCATATCTTACAAAGATTAAGAGTTTGTTCACATTTCATTCATAGAGGAAAGGAAAGGAAAATTGTGTTTACAGAGTATTTTTTTTTTTAAATATTTTACTAACTTGAAGAGAGAGAGAAAGAAAAAAAGAGAAAGGGAGAAGGGGAGCTGATGGAATTGTTCCCTTCCAAGACATAAAGTCTTTGATTCTTCAGTACCTGATTCAAGTAGATGGTGCATTACAATAAAAGAAATGTTGCCAAAAGAAGTGGAATGTTTGACTTGATGTATCCAGGACATCAGTTAATAGAAATTATATTAATCCACCCCTAATATTTCTAAATTATCATTTCAGAGGTCTTCCAAATTTTTTTTTATGTCTGTTAACAGTACCCCTCCAATGATTAAATGCGTATATCATTTTCCTTCCTTCCTTCCTTATGAAAGCATTCTGGAGACACTCCATTACTACCCAGGTAGAATGAGACTGTAGGAAAACTAATTCTATTTTTTCTGAAGATCTGTGTCTAGGCAGTAGGCAAAATGGCAGGCTGCCCACAGATTACATCCAAGAGACTCAAAGTTAACATCCGGCAAGTTTAGTTAGCAGTTGTCAGTTTATGTTAATAAAAAGATAATCAGAAAGCAGAGATGGACCCAAGGTACAAAAATAGCCCATCCACATAACCAGTATGCTGTAGGTGGTTTGCTTGGTAACTTTTTTGTGAATTTCCTGCTCATCGCTCCTCCAGTATTATTTCTCCCCCTTACTAGTGCACCTTCCTTACTTCCTTTCTTTCTGCTAATAGCTGCCAACTATTCGCTTTATAATTATAATCAGAAATTAAGCTGACAGAGTCTTACAGAGTGGGAGAGAAACGGAGACGTACCTGAATTATACCAGTTACTAAACTGGTCTTGCAGCAAGGCAAGAAAAAACTCATTAATTCTACTGAGATTACATATGCACACATCTGGATAAGCTTTTGTTTGTTATGCAACCTATGCTACCACATCTGACGGCAAATGTGAAAATACAGCAGAGCACTGGTATGATCTTAAGTATAATATATTGTCTGCCTCCTGGCCAAGCCTGGTTTCATTACCTATTCCAAAGAAATAAAAGAAGTGCCTAATACTGTACATTTGTGAAGTTGGTGAGCCTATAATGAATCAAGAATATAATTTGTTCTCATGCTGGGTAAATACTAAGAGTGAGGTGTAAGTTGAATTTTTTTCTCATGGCGTACCGTCTTAGCACCATTGTTCTATGTGCTTTTCCTAACAGAGATAAGTGGTAGTGGAGAGCCATACGGAGACAGGCTACAGGGACTGAATGTTTCAGTGCCTGTGTGTCAATAGCATTGGTAAGTAAGGAGGTTACAGTGATTTGGTAAGGTCTTATATCTCTTTTTTTTCATTGAGCTCGGATACAAATCCTCTGACCTGGAAGACAAAGGGGAAGATGCCCTGCTTCATGAACCCCCCCCCCCCGCCCTTTATATCACGTGAAAGCATGCATGCCACACTGGGTAATGAGGCAAAGAGAAAGAACGAAGGTGGGGGAAAATCAGAGTCCTGTGAGCCTCCTTGTTTCCTTTCAACCCTCAGAAAATTAATTTATTTTGAATTGTGTTTCAGGTGTTTTTTGCGACCCATCAGACTGGAGTTACACTATCTGTAGTTGTTTCTGCTTGCTAGAAAGGTTTTTCTTTCAGGATGAAGGTGAGCGTAAATTCAGAAAAGAAAGTTTTAGTTCTGTTTCTGACACGAACTTTGGGCTAAATTTCAAATCTGGAGGGAGAGAGGTCATCTGTGTTTGTAGGTCCAAAGATTAGATGCAAGAAATCAAGCATTTAGAGTAGCAACCAAGAGATTAGGTACTCATAGATTTGTTACTATACCTTATTTATTCAGCTATGACACAAAGATTTTCTGGCATAACTTCAAGTGGCAATGTCAATAGCCACTTGAATGTCTTATAGCAGGTACCCACAGAAGCAGGCATTAATGGATGATTATTTATTAAATTTGGTATAGTAATACTTCTCAAGTAGTTTTTTTGTTTCTTTCTTTGTTTTTAAAAGAAAGTCACATTTAGCTGAAAAGGAAACCAAATCTCTCCATTATCCAGTTAGGATTCTCCAGCCTTCTGACAAGAGCCCAGGTTAACGCACTTTAGTCAACACGGGCATATTTTGTCACAACTTGTGGGGAATGCTGACTCAGGATAAGGCAAAACCCACAAGGCATTGAACTAATTGTGCAATGCTTTATGTGGAAAAATGACTTCCTGTTTCCTGCATTAGCTGCCAGTTCTTTGAAGCATGGTGTTTGAATGTCTGCATTGTATACTTACCATCCAGATGAAAATACTAAGCGTATAAACATAATTTGTTATATCCACATATTTTTTATATATATTCAGATTTAACTGTTGCATTCAATTCCTCTTCTCCCTTTTTACACTATATTATCCCTTTCAACTGGGGTGATTCTCATATACACTTCTAGATTCTTTAGTGTTTAAAATGTCATCCACCAGCTCACAGGCATTCATTTCTACTGTGAAGCCCTTGTTCTGAGAGATGCTGAGCAGTGCCCGTGTTGCTGGAAAACTGCAATGAATTTCTAGGACATTGAACTGTCTGAGCTGACTGAAATGCAAGCTGTAAACAGATAGTGAAAATGGCTGTAAGTCCATAAGTTTGGGAACATTTCTGCAGCTTTATTAATCAGAGACTTTATAAGCAATGTAGACTATTAATAGTGTATTTGATTGTCTCGAAACAGATGAAATTAATATCAAGTTTACTCTCGAGTGTTTTGACATAATCTCAGAAAAATGGCTTCTAAGACCAGGAAAATGGCTTCTCGTGGAAACTGTGTTGATGAAAGCTAGCCACAAAATCCACTTTCGTAGAGTAGGCTGAATGGTCAGTCCAAGATCAAAAGTATGTTTACATATGGGAGCCAAAGATGGTTTCCCATGGTGGTAATATCTTGGAGCTGTGCCGGCAGGTTGACCCTGCCCTCCTTCTGCAGGTACTTAGAGAAGGTCTGGCAGAGGCCCAAAGACCCTTGGGCACGTAAGGTTCAGTACATCAGGATTTCTAAAAGGAGCGCACTTTATACCACTAGAGGCCAGAGGGGGCCTCTGGAGGGGTTTTATTATACCCCTCATTTTTATTCCTGTTAAAGACCACCAACACTTTTGGATAGCTGGCAGACTAATAATGCAGCTGGGTTGAACAAGTGTCTATTTCATTTCTACACAGTTGAAACGTCACATTTTTGGAGGTGAGAAAAGGGACAGGTACGGTGAATGAAGTACACAAATGTATTACAGAATGAATCTGTATCTGTTACAGGGCATTAACCATGCCAATCTGTAGAATACTTGAAAGTCCTGTTCTTTTAGGTTAACACCAAAATGTGGTTTTGCCAAGTGCTTACAGCCAATGCAGATTGAGTTGCTGGGGTGTGCAATACAGTGTGCAGTGGCATTACAGAGTTTGCCAATGTATAGAAGACTCATATCGTTACAGAGGGTTTGTTCACTTAGGTAGAAGATGTCAGAATAGACCCAAATGGGAAGTTTTTCTATGCTGCCTTGGATAACGAGGTTAAGAAAAAAAACAGTAACAATTTAAATAAATCAGATGTTTTTGCTGAAGATTATGCTGTCATTTTCTCCAATTATTCTTGACATTTCACCCGTTCATATTGTGATCTGAGTTAATAATGGAAGAAAAAACGGCTCTTGTTGCCTTGTTTATTCTTTGTTCTCAAGGAGATAAGCTGTTTATAAAGATAAGTTATTTGTTATTTAAATCACTTTTACTGAAGTTGTTTGTTTCCTTGTTTTGAGTTTCTAAAAATATTGCAACAATTGTGATGCATCTTTGAGATGTCCATTCAATTCACTATGATTTGTACTGGAATTCATTCCTAAATGGGCACAGGTGTTGATAGCTATACCATGCTAGAATGAGTCAAAACCAATAAATGCTCAATAAAGGAAAGATGAAAGAAAATGCACTGAAAACAGCTTTTATAAAGATGTGATAAATTGGCACTTTAGTTCACTACTTATTTAGGTATATAGTACTGAAGATGTGTCTAGAGCAACTACATATTTTAAAACAGCTGAACATCTTAGAACATAACTTCAGCCGCCGTTAATATTTTCAAGATCATAAACATTATTTTTAAAATTAGCAATACTATTCAGGATATAATCAACTTTTGCTTGCAAGCCGTTCCGTAGTGCCCTAATGTAACATTTTGCTACACTTTTATAAAAAATAAAGTTGATTAATAGTCTATGAAAATTACTTGCTTGCTTTCTCATGTTGCACAGAAACTTAATGCTAGAATAAGATATTGGAATTCTGATGTTGCAAAACCAAAAGTCAGTTAAAGCATTTCCTTGGCACTTTTGCCATGAGCAGGCGTTTTG